GAGTCGGATTAGTCCGATCTTAAATTTATAAAGTTTAGAATCGGTCTGGTACGGCCCATAATTTTATAAGATAGTTTCAAAAAAATCTTTAAAAATATAATATTTGAGCCGGCCCAATCCTAAAAAAGAAAGGATCGGTCTAACCTAACTCTAAGCTTAAAAAATTTAAGATCAGACATGACAAAACCTACGTTAACAATAGCAAGTGTTAAGCCGGTCCGTTTATCTCATCTTAAACTTACTGCTTAAGGGACAACTTTGATATTATAATTTTATTATTATAGCATTTTGGGAACTCAAGCTTCAATTGACTGACTCTAGTGCGGATTCTTTCGTAATTGGAATTCAAAAGCTGGTGATCTGACCATCTTTTAAAATCTAATGCTGTCAGTAGTATATTGCCAAATATTGTGCTGTGGACGTAATTACTAAACAACTTTTTAATACTGTGGGGTGTCTTTGAAGATGGTGTGAAAAGTAAAAAGGAGAAGTATAAGGTTACGTTTAATTCGTTCGTTGATTTGAGTTGAGATGTAATTTTATGTAAAAATTTTTTATTGTAATAAAAATGTTAAATGTGACTGTTTCTGAAAGTTTTTTACTGTAGCAAAATTTAAATTCTAAACTCGAATCAGTAAAATAAACGGAATTTAAGTAAAACCACATTAATTAATATTATAATAAACCCATTACTAATATTGATTTTCATCCACTGAAAATATTTTAGGTGCGACGTTCAAAAGCTATAGGATATTATAACTACTTAAAACTACACAAAACGTGCAAGTTATTCTTTAATTATGCAAATAAACTCTAATTTTGCTCAAACGATGAAGGTTTTACAACTAAATGATTTTCACGATTTAATAATTAGGGAGAAAACATACCTTGATCTATGATGAACTTTAGAAGAGACCAATCGATTGTAAAAAAGATTTTAGAAGAAATTGTATTTCTCACCCTCTCTCTACGTACATATTGATCAATAGGTGGAGAGAGGACCAATTTCTTAATTTCATCAATTATTCTCTTTCCATCAAAGAGCCATCAATTTAGGGAAACTATCATTTCTCTAATTGATCAATAGGATTTATCTTTTATTATTTTATTAACCATTGCATCAAATTTCCTTAAATCGGAAATATCCATAAATGCACATGGGACACTTAATAAAAATTCTTTCAAAAGGATGAAAATAAACAGATTGCCATAACCAGATTAAGGGTCTGTTTAGTTCATTGATTTGAGTTTTTAATTCGAGTTGAGATTTATATTTATGTGATAATTTTTTACTGTAGAAAAACTAAAATTCTAAACTCGAATCGGTAAAATGAACGAGCTTAAAATTACTCTAAACAGTTCAATGATCTATATCAAGAAATAATGTCATATTTCATATATTTTCAAGATTTTACTCCAAGTTTCAAAGCTTGCCCAGTTGGTCCAATATGTTGATTGGACTTGCAAACATTCGCGAGTTTGATCTCCTTCAATTTTGGGCCTAATTTTGCAATGTTCAATATGGCGACGCCAACAAACAACATCAAAGCAACAGTCACATAAAAAACAAATCAATGGCGGGCGGGGACCGCCGAGATAGTGAAAGTTGCGTACACAAGAATGTGATAGGAAAGGTGACGAGTCATTAGGCTCTTTTTTATCACCTTTTTTATCCCACCATTTTTTGGCCACATCTAATTGATTGTCCGATCAATTTTTTTGATGTCCCACATAATGTTACCAAATTCAAACCACCAAGCTTGACACAAACCACACTATTGGCCCAGATTTAGGGGCCGTTCTTTTACTTTTTTGAGTTAGATGACTTGAGTATAGATTTTGAGTTGAGTTTGAGTTATAACTTGAGTTGAAGTTGTAATTTGAGTTTGTGTTTGGTTGTGTACATTTGAGTTATGGTTTGAGATAAAAATATTTTTGAGTTTGTGTTTGAGTGAGTCAAAACTTTAATTTATATTTAGATAGTATTTTAATAAAAACTCAATGTTGATGGAAAATTTTAATAGGGTATATGGGTGAGGTTTTATTTGTCTTTTCGTTGTCAACACATAGAAAAAAAAATCATCTCAATCAGAATTAAAACGAAAAAGTTATAGTATTTTTAAGAATAGAAAAAATACTGTTTATTAATTTGAGTTTGAGTTTCTGAACTCGAGTTAAAGAGAAAACTTAAACTCGAGTTTTAATCCCAAACTCAAGTTCAAACTCGAGTTTAAATTTAAAAGAACATGTATTTAAATAAAATTATAACTCGAATTATTTTTTTGAGTTTTTGACTTAAAAAAAGGGCACCGAACAGCCCTTAGTATCTTGATCTAATCGTATCATTGGCCATGACATGTTGTAGTCGTACATAATGGCATGTCGTTTAGCCTGCCAATATGGAGATGACCTGTCGTTTTTGGACTCTTTGTCCCGCTCTCTCCAATCTATATGTATATATATCTATATATGTATACACATGGAAAATGTCTTTAGTCCAAAAAGTTCATACAAAAATATTACACTTGTGGTACCCTAGGCCTTCCGGACTTAAAACAATGCTTATACGTGTGTGTGTATATATATTCTTGGGATGGGACCAGTTCACTGTACAACTCATCTCATGCACAAAAAGGTACGACAGGTACACTCTCACGGAGAAATTAGGGGCTTATTTTTTTGAGTGAAAAATTTCCGTTCATTTCGCTGATTCGAGTTTAGAATTCGAGTTTTGTTACAGTAAAAAACTCTCATAAACAATCACATCTAACTTTTTTGCTACAGTAAAAAGCTCTCACATAAAATCACATCTCAACTCGAATTAAAAACTCGAATCAGCGAACTAAACGAACCCTAAAAAAAAATAACTCGAGTTATAATTTTATTCGAGTTTATGTTCTTTTAAGTTTAAATTCAAGTTTAAACTCGAGTTTAGAACTAAAACTCGAGTTCAAGACCCCGTTCACTTCCCTGATTTGAGTTTAGAATTCGAGTTTTTCTACAGTAAAAAGCTCTCACAAACAATCACATCTAACTTTTTTGCTACAGTAAAAAGCTCTCACATAAAATCACATCTCAACTCGAATTCTAAACTCGAATCAGCGAAGTGAACGGAGATTTCCCCTTCAATTCGAGTTCAGAAACTCGAACTCAAATTAATGAACAATATTTTTTCTATTCTTAAAAATACTATAACTTTTTCGTTTTAATTCTGATTGAGATGATTTTTTTTCTATGCGTTGACAACAAAAAGACGAATAAAACCCGACTCATATACCATATTAAAATTTTTCATCAGCATTGAGTTTTTATTAAAATACTATCTAAATAAAAATTCAAGTTTTGATTCACTTTGTTCTTTTAGAGTGAAACTTGAGTGTAGTTTTTGAGTTGAATTTGAGTTATAACTTGAGTTAAAGTTGTAACTTGAATAAAGTTGAGTAAAGTTGAATAAAGTTGAATAAAGTTAGAACTTAAAATAACGTGAACTTGAATAAAGTTGTAACTTGAATTTAAACTTTTTCTGAGTTTTGTTTCAAAAGAACAACCCCTCAAACACAAACTCAAAAAGATTCGTATCTCAAATCATAACTCAAATGTACACAACCAAACACAAGCTCAAGTTACAAGTTCAACTCAAGTTATAACTCAAATTCAACTCAAGAATTATACTCAAATTAAACTCTAAAAGAACAAGCACTAAAATCCTAGGGCATGTTCTTTTGTCTAAAAAACTCAAAAAAAGACAACTCGAGTTCCAACTTTATTCAAGTTCACGTTCTTTTAAGTTTCAATTTTATTTAATTTTACTTAACTTTATTCAAGTTACAACTTCAACTCAGGGTCCGTTCACTTCGTTGATTCGAGTTTGTAATTCGAGTTAAGATATGATTTTATATGAGAGCTTTTTACTGTAACAAAAAAATTAGATGTAATTGTTTGTGAGAGCTTTTTACTGTAGCAAAACTCGAATTCTAAACTCGAATTGGTGAAGTGAACGGGGCCTCAAGTTATAACTCAAATTCAACTCAAAAACTATACTCAAGTTACACTCTAAAAGAACACCCCTAATTTCTTCTGAGCCTCCACGCTAACCATAACTAGAACTTCACAGGATAAATACCCCGCAGGAAAAACAAAAACAGGTGGAATCTGATTCCACGCATAGACAATACCATATTTCATGGGCTGGAAGAATTATAAACAGGGAAAAAAGTTTTAATTCTAAAAAAAAAAAAAAAGTAAAAAGTTTCAACGCTTTTGCAAAACCCTCCAAATTTAAGTTAACTTTAATAAAATATTACATACGATTATGGAATAATGCGTGATGTTAATATCTATAAAGAAACATTGTAGGGGCTTAATATGATATGTTTTAATGATAGTATCAAATTCCATTATTTTTCTTAAAAGTAAATATGATAATTTTATTAAAAGGTCACTAAAAAATTAAAATACATGACTTAATAAAATCATAAAAATGGGTGACACTTATAAAATTAGACATCAAGAACACACTCTTAATAAAAGCCGTTAATAATTTAATAGCACCTTGAAATATTTCAATAAACTTAATAAATGATGGACAAATTAAAAATTTTAAAAAGTAATTGTGTGAAAAGTTAAAGAATAATTGTGTCAATTACAGCAAGCAAAAAAAAAAAAAAATGACAAACTCGTCGTGATGCCGGCTAAACGTGTTTTGCAGCAATATACCAATATGCTCTCGATCAGCAAAAGGAAATATACCAATATGCCCACCTGGTATTCACCGATATCCTTACCTTCTCCTGAAAAGACAAAAGTATCCTCACCTGGACCCCACATGGTCCCACCCCCATCAACTTTATCTACAACAACCATCCAAAAAAGTTAAAAAAAAAAATTAAAAGATTCCAATCCAAACCCCATCTGCTTTTTATTTTATTTTGCTTATTTATTTATTTTTAAATATTTAAAAAATGTTAATTTTCTGTCTTTTGTCTTTTCCTTCAATCTCCCACCTCCACCCACCACTTTCCCAACACATTTTCCTTCTTCCCAAACAACTTGCTCATCCTCTTCCTCCTCGCTTTTGGATTTCCCAATATTTTTGTCTTTCCCTTTCCCACGATCTTTTCTCTTCTCTCTCTCTCTCCTTTTCCTCTCTTCCACTCCATGCCTCAGAAATTTCAAATCCCTTCCCTCATTTTCCCCAAAACTCCTTTTTCTCTCTTCACTTCCAAGCGAATTCCCAATTTTACTTACAGCTCTGGACTCGGATTTTGATTTTTCTTTGCTAAATTTTTCAATTTTCACTCAACAGATTGATTTGATTTCGAATTTTTCCGGTTAAGATCACGGTTCCGACTTAGATGGTTCGGTTTTGCTGTTCTTTGTTGAGCAATCGGAGCTAGGTTTCACGGTGGAGCTAGGGTTTGTTTCTGAGCTCGAGAAAATGCCCCCGGAGGGCACGGCGGTCGCCGGCGCCACCGATGGGTCCCAGTACTCGTTTGCGGTTGAGTATAATGGCCCTCCCGTGACCTACGACATTCCCCGCGCCGTTCCGATCAACGTGGAGAAGATTCCGGTGGCGGCCGTCGTGTCGCAGGTGCCGTTGTCCGAAACTCTGTCGTTGCCAGTGGTCCAGCCGGTGTTGGCCTCGGCGTCTCTGAGGAAAAATTTCTCCAAAGAGCTCGAACTGCTGGGATCTTCAAAAACTACGGTTTCCCCAACTTCCGTGATCGCCTTCGAGCGTAGCGGCAGCGGAGGCGACGATGGTGGCGATTCTGGAGATTCCGGTGATTCGGCTTTGTCGAAAGAACTGGAATTGGGCTCTGGTGCGACCGTTTCGCCGACTTCCGTGATCGCTTTCGAGGAGAGATCTCCGGAGAATCGCGATGGCGGTTGTGCCTTGTCCGGCGAATTGAGTAGCTCAGGTGCGTTGGAATTTTCTAATACGAATTTCGAGTCTGGTGAATTGTCGGATTTAGCTAATAGCTCTAGGGTATTGGGGTCGTCTTCCATTAGTCATGAGCACTCTCAGGAGTTGTTGGTTGGAGCTGGGAGTTCCAGTACAATAGAGTTCTCGGATAGCTTTGATAAATCACGGGGAAGAAGTTTAAGAACTTTGAGGGAAACTAGTGGTAGGAACGAGAGTTTAGATTTGAACGATTTGAATCAATCCGACTGGGCATCGACCGAGTCGGTATTGAGTTTGGATTATCCGTCGTCTCGGGTTTCGTCTATAAAGGCTGCGGATTGCAATAACGTATTGATTTCCGATGTGAGACGGCCTCAAGTGGTGACGTTTCGTGATATTGAATCGGATGGCGGTGCTGATGAGGAATTCAGTATGGATGAGCCTGAGATTCGTCCAGCCGTCAAGAGAGAACCTCAAACGAAGGGGAAGAAAGGTTCTTGTTACCGATGTTTTAAGGGAAATCGGTTTACGGAGAAGGAGGTCTGCATTGTTTGTGACGCAAAGTATTGCAGTAGTTGTGTGCTAAGAGCTATGGGGTCAATGCCAGAAGGTCGGAAATGTGTTACTTGCATCGGGTTTCCCATTGACGAATCAAAGAGAGGGAATTTGGGAAAGTGCTCAAGGATGCTCAAGCGGCTTCTGAATGATTTGGAGGTTCGACAAATAATGAAAGCCGAGAAGTTTTGCGAAGCAAATCAGCTACCACCAGAATATGTTTGTGTGAATGGAAAACCTCTTTGTCATGAGGAGCTAGTCATACTACAAACCTGCCCCAACCCACCAAAGAAGCTAAAACCAGGAAACTATTGGTACGATAAAGTGTCTGGTCTTTGGGGAAAGGTGAATATGGTTTTCTTGAGGCATTTAATTATTCTGCTTCTTGAGTTTGTTTCATCGTTTGAACCTTTCTATATTTCTGTTGAATTTTAACAGGAGGGACAGAAGCCTTCCAAAATAATTAGTCCCCATCTTAATGTTGGGGGTCCAATTATGGCAGACGCAAGCAATGGAAACACTCAAGTTTATATGAACGGTCGAGAGATTACGAGAGTAGAGCTTCGGATGTTGCAGGTTGAAGCTGTTTTAGGTTGCAAAGTAGTTGTTGATTTAATTGGTTAATATGCGAACGCTAACTGAGATCTTTGTTCTGAAAATTGCAGTTGGCGGGAGTTCAATGTGCTGGTAATCCGCACTTTTGGGTCAATGAAGATGGATCATACCAAGAAGAGGGACAGAAGAATACAAAAGGATATATATGGGGCAAGGTAAGTGTTCTCAGTGAACAATCAAAAGGTTTTTGCTTTGTTCTTTGTTTTTGGTTCAAGGAATTGGACATGATTTTTCATGTTGCTTCAAATTATTAATTGCTTTTTAGGCTGGCACAAAGCTTGTCTGTGCTGTCTTGTCGCTACCAGTCCCTTCTAAATCCGTGAATACTTATGGAGAGCCACTAAGCAATCAACTAAGCAGATCTGTGCCTGACTACTACCTTGAGCAAAGAACGCTTCAGAAGATTCTTGTTGTTGGATATAATGGATCTGGCACGAGTACTATATTTAAGCAGGTGCTTGTTTAATAAAAGACTTAAGCTTAAACTTATTATGCCAGCCCTTATAGTTATGCGAGATTTATTCATCTGTACAAAGTTGGATAGCACAACTAAGAGAACCTATAGTACACTTTAGTTCAAAGTAGTTATATGTAAGTCTATTTATCAAGTTATATGTTTCATTCAGGCTAAAATTCTATACAAAGACGTTCCTTTTTCGGAGGATGAGCGAGAAAATATCAAGCTGAGAATCCAGAGTAATGTATACGGCTATCTTGGTATACTCCTTGAGGGCCGTGAGCGGTTTGAAGATGAATGTTTGGCTGAGATGAGGAAGCAACGATCTTCTTGTAAAACAGAACCTATTGGTAGGTTTGCCAATTCTTCTCATGTGTTTGCCATCTTCTTATTACATGCCTCCATAGACATCTTTTGAGAAAAAATATATGTTCTTTCATCCTTCTTTTCCTAGTGGGGTTAACGACATCAAAGTCATACGACTCTGAATGTGGGATGAACCATAAATGCGTTACCCATCTAAAATGGTTTCTGTTTGGAAACAGGAAACTCTGACGACAGTGATGACAAAAATCTTTATTCCATTGGCCCAAGGCTGAAATCATTCTCTGATTGGCTTCTCAAGACCATGGTCTCAGGCAATTTGGAAATCATTTTTCCAGCTGCTAGTCGGGAATATGCTCCACTAGTTGAAGAGTTATGGAATGATGCAGCAATTCAGGCTACATACAAGCGAAGAAGTGAGCTGGAAATGCTACCCAGTGTTGCAAGTTACTTCTTAGAGCGGGTGAGATCATGCTTCGTGCGTGTAACTATGCTTTTTTATTAAACAGTTGAAAAGTTTTATCTATATAATAGCTTCTTTTTAATACAATGGACTTCGGCAGTTTTCAATATGTATCCTTCTCTTCATAATTTGGGACCACAAAAAGGAAACGCGCAAAATTTCTTAGGAGGAAAAGACTGTTTTTTCTCATTTCCCAAAAAAAAAAAAAAAAAAAACAAGTAAGGATTTCTTTTGCAAGATAGTGTGTGTAAAGGGAAAAAACTTGCTTTATGGCAACATTTTAAACTTATTATAAGAATTAATAGTTTGTGCCGGCTTTCTTTTCCCCTTCTTGATATATTTACACTAAATAAGCAAGTGCAAAGTCAAACATGCCATTATCTCTTGGGTGATCTTACTGTTTAGAATGTCCAAATAACTATGACGTCTTCTGGTCTGTACTCCAGTCCGTTATTAGATAAGATGTGTTGTTTAAGATGATTTAGGCATATACCTACGAAGTAGGGGGTGAACGAACGAGTTGAGCTTTGTCAAATATTTCCAATATACTTCCTTGGTTCTCCTCTTTAGGCTAAAGTCTACTTGGTGCTTCTACGTTTCCTGCTATATACAGCAATAACGTGACCATTTGGTGCGCTTTGTTTTGTTTTTGATGTATCTAACATGATTGTTGTTATTATTTAACTTTTCAGGCTGTTGAAATTCTGAGAATGGATTACGAACCCTCGGATTTGGATATCCTCTATGCCGAGGGTGTTACTGCATCAAATGGGCTTACTTGTGTTGACTTCTCATTTCCCCAGGCAGCGTCTGACGATCTCATTGATGCGGGTGATCAACATGATTCTTTGACTAGGTTGGTATCAGTGACTAATTTCATTTTCCAATCGTCATTCCAAGTCATAATTACTATTAATCTGTACTGCTCCAAATCGGTTTTTCTCTGTGACTGTTCTCTCAAACCTTGTGTTTTATTTCGCTTGATCTTTAGGTACCAACTTATTAGAGTACATGCAAGAGGACTTGGAGAAAACTGCAAGTGGCTAGAGATGTTTGAAGACATTGGACTGGTCATGTTCTGCGTTTCATTAAGTGACTATGATCAGTATGCTTCTGATGCGGATGGATCAATCACCAACAAGATGTTGCTGACCAGGAGATTCTTCGAAAGCATCGTCACCCATCCAACCTTTGAGCACGTCGACTTTCTTTTGATACTAAACAAGTTTGATTTGTTTGAGGAAAAGGTAGAACGAATACCGTTAACCCAGTGTGAATGGTTTGATGATTTTCATCCGCTGATAAGCCGGCATCGATCCACCAGCAACAGTAACAGCATCAACCATAACCCTACACTTGGTCAGATTGGTTTCCACTACGTTGCAGTGAAATTCAAGAGGCTCTATTCTTCGTTGACTGGGAAAAAGTTGTTTGTTTCTCCTGTGAGGGGATTGGAGCCTAATAGTGTCGACGCGGCTCTTAAATACGCGAGAGAGATTTTGAAATGGGACGAAGAGAGAGGAAACTTCAGCTTGAGTGAATACTCGATCTATAGCACCGAGGCAAGCTTCTTTTCTCATTAATCTTTACGCCATAAAAAAGGATTGTAAATGATATAACTCCTGCGTGACATTGATCGCTGCCATGCCAGTGTAAATATATTGGCTTGTAATTTGTATATGAGCAATAGAAGATTGTTTCTTTCCACGAACTGTTCCAGGTACAAATCATTCTAGGTTGTACCAACACAGTTCTGCTATTGTGCAACTATTGAGAGAATTCTAGAGTATATGGCCGCAACATTTGTAATCACAAGTTAGCAATCATATGTTTCAGTGTCTTGCTCATGTCTGTCTACTGTTGCAAGCTTAAGACTTCTATTCATCACGTTAGTAAGAATGTGCTAAACGTTACGTTTCGTTGGCGTTTCATGGAGTTTTTTTTTTTTGCTGAAACGTTTCGCACCTAAGAAGAAAAAAGTCCTAAAGTTTTTTTTTTTTTTTTTTTTTTTTTTTGACGTTTTTTTTTTTCTTTCTTCTTTCTCTCCTCTATTTTATCCCCAGCAATTTGTCCGTTCTAAAAATTTCACGCGAGCGCTCTGACTAGATGTGTTATGAGATGCAAATGCACTGAACCACTTTTTGGACATCTCTATCTTCAAAGTCATTTCAGCTCTTCATAAGGAAATCTGCAATTCTGTAGATAGAACTATGAATATGTGAAAGATGTATTGTATTCGTGCTACAATGGCGGAAATCATAATGTTAAGTTTAGATTTTTAATTTAAAGATCATCAGAAATCAAGAATTGTTTAAGTGCTTGCTAAAATATTGTTGTGTTTCTATCCAAAATTTAACCTCCGTTATCAATTGGGCTAAAATGCTGCTATTTTGTTAATTTAACGATTAAGGAACCTAAATTTTATCTTGCCTTGTACGTTAAGATAGAAAAAAGAGACGAAGCTGAATTCAGTTCTAATGGAAGTTGTGGCTAATTGCTTCTCATATACTTAGAAGAATGAAAATCTGTTAAATCAGTCCTGAAGATTTCTCTTTTTCTTGGAGAAGATAACTGCAAACTCAGGTCTGTTTCTCCTAAAAGAATCTGGTCAAAATATTATTGTTAGAACTTCGAAATTGGTTGATCATTGCCAACTCGGAGTAGGATATGATGTAAATACATGTAAATATATGAGTCCACAAACTGTTATCGCTGCCTTTCCGGCTTTTAAGAAGCGCATGCATCAATAAACAAGAATCGTTAGCTTCTGAAAACAAGTGATCCCCAAAATTCTTTATTGTAGAGAGAACTCACCAGAACCTCCAAAAGTTTTCAGTCATCTATGAAGCTGTATCGAGTCTGTTCCTTTGTATTCAATAAAATGTTCTTTGCAGCCCATCCCTGTCCCAATATCTGCTCATTTAATATGCACAAATCATCTTGTGCACGTCTCTTGCACTCCTCAAGTAGTTTAAACCACTCGGTGAGAACTGAGTCGAGAAAACCTCTAGCCTCTAACAAATTTTCCCACCTAGTTCTGTTCAAGTGAAGAGCTTTGCGAATGTAACATGCCTGCACAGCATAATACCAGATCAAACAAGGGGGACTCTTTTCTCCCATTCTTTTCCATACCAAATCAACAATGCTATGTAAGTTCCTTTACACATGAACCTTTGTTTTACCTGCAACAAACCGGTAGTAATGTTGGCAGTGTCAGCTCCTTCTCGTAGACAAAGAAGAATACCATGCTAAAATTCACAAATGAGCAACATGCAACAAAAACAAAAGAGTGTCAAGTACAGTTTCGGGATGTATGATGTTGCAAGACAAGCCTAGGTTGAATGTCTGCAAAATCCTCACCTGCTTTCTTCTAGGAATTCCAGAGTAAATTTCTTCCATGGATAGGAAGTAGTAGTCCTCACCACTTAATGATTGCATTGCCATCATTGACAATTTTGAAAAGTGGGCCTTGGGATTAAGGCACCCTATTCTGATGGGCCACACATGTTTGCCTGAAAAACACTCGGTCACTGGCTTAAGATTCATGAATTGATTTTGTCAAAGCACAAAGACCAAGTCATGTCAAATTTATATGTGAAACCTCACCTTTTGTCCAAGGGAAATCAATACCTTCCTGTTTGCTCACTTCTGCAGGAGAAGGCACATATCCCAACTCAATCCAAGTATTTAGTATGATCTCAATTCTATCCTGAAACGAAGAAACACAAACAGCGCGTTTGGAACTCGTCTTGAAAACGTTTTTCACGTTTTTCAAGGAGAAAAAAATGAAAATGGTGTGAAGATTGCGTTTGGGGCAGCTCCGTACAGAAACTAAAAATGAAAATGTTTTTGTCTTTATCCCAAAAAGTGAGACATTTCTGAAAATGTGCTGAAGTCGTTTTTCTTTCCCCCATTTTCATTTTCTCCGGTCTCTGGGCTAATATGTGTGTATGGTAATTGGTATCCTAATTGTTTACTATTTACGTATGCCAAGACAACTAATAAGTAGTAAGTATAATTACATATAGCAGATATGTATATATTAAATTAATTACTAGTGTATTGATTGGGGAGTTTATTAATTATTTAATATATTATTTAAAATACTATTACATGTTTTCAAAAATGTAAAACTAAACGGAATTTCAGTTTTTTCTTATAGTGAAAACAATCTCTGAATAAAATTACCAAACGCATTTTCAGAAATGATTCCAGTCTGAGATTGAAAACGTTTTCATTTCCATTTTCATATAGGAAAAAAAAAATCATTTTGCAATGGGTTCCAAACGCGCCCAAAGTGTAAGCATCTTACTAGTCCAATCTCATAAATAACTCAACAGGCATGAAAAGCCTGTATGCTATCTCACCTTGGTTAATGTTTGCAGGTGGACATGCTTAAGCCCTTGATATATTCCAAAGAGATCAAAAGCTGAAAATATTGGGTATATAACAAAGGGTAGACCTGCTTGCAATCTTACACATTACTTACAGATTAGAAAAATTTGAAAGAAAATTACACATTGATGACAATAATAAAAACCTTAGAACGGAAAAATAATATAATAATTTTAGATACACCAGAGAAATCAATTACCTATAACAAATATGAGTAAAAGTAGGAAGAAACTGATTAGAATATTAACATTTTTAACCACCTAACTAGAGAGTAGAATCTAAATCAAAGTTAGAAACAAAACCTTTGATTGTTCTTGAATACAAAGTTCAGTAGCGCAGCAAGCAGAAGGCCAAGGTTATCAAAGCACACGGTTTGAATCTGAAATCCATAGGAATAAGTATGTAGCCTCGCTTGCTAAGTTTAGCAAATACAATTCAATAAACGTCTGGAATAAAAATAAATAATAATAATAATCAACCTGCGCTTTAGCTGATACTTCCCCTAGGTTATCTGCTACTGCAAAGCTTCGATGAACAGCAGACTGTTTATAAAAGAGAGAACATCAAAACTTCCAACAATGTTTAATTAAACAAAACAAAAAAAAGAAAAAAGAAAAATTGGAGTCTAGCCCTCACTTCTAAAATGTGATGCCTCTCACAAACTAATACAGAATTGAAAAAACACAGACTCCAATAGCACTCACAATAAAAGATCGAAAGATGTGATAGTTGATTTTATAGAAAAACAGATCCGCAATATAGGTGACAAATACTTACACCAGTCGCTAAGTAGCAAGCCAAGCTTATTTGTTTTGCAATGTTGGCCATGGTTGCAAGAAGCAAAAAGTACTTGGGAAATGCAGGAGTTAGCAGCTCAACTCCAATGCTCAAACTGAAGAGAACGGAGGTGGAAAACCTAACTCTCTTCAAACGAGAAATCACAAACACGAAAAAAAAAGATGTTAAGTTTCTAATATTACATTCCACGGCAAACACAATAAAATTCTTATTTTGCAGCTCTAACAATTACCAACCATAGCATCTCTGCACAATTGTATTTTGGGACATATTTTCTTTATTTTTTTAAAAGACCAAAATACAGTGCTAGTAACTGCAAGAACTGCAAATGAAGGAATCGAGCCATAAATAAGTAAAACAAAGCGAGCAAATTCAGCACCAACCAAATCATAAACAGGGTAAAAGTCTTACCTTCAAATTGGTATCGAAAGCAGATGCTAGGCTAGCCGTGTAGATGCATCTACTAAGCCGTCCAAGTCCATCCTTGAGGACCCAGTTCAGAGCAGCAGCTGATGGAAGTGAACGAGAATATCCAAATCCAATTGCTCGAAACATTGCCTATATCAAACCATTCCCAATAAAAATAAGTACCCATATTAGAACTTCACAGGGAAAAAAGGGTATCCATTTGAAATGTGTTTTTCATGTAATTAGTATCTCCTTTCTTTTCACCGATCTTTGCATTTCCATTTTTCCGAGGAAAACAATTGAGGATCTTCACATTAAAAATTGTAATTTTCCTTTGAAAAACTACAAAAGCTCCAATTTATCAAGCAAATTCACATCCCTTATACACAATAAATAGAGATGAAGGGTTTCACATTAAAAATTGCAACTTTCCATTGTAAAACTACAAAAGCTCCAATTTTCAAGCAAAATCATGACCCAATCAAAAAATTAATTAAAGCAACAATAAAAGCCTCGATTTTGCATATGAAATACCAATTACCTGAGTGGCAAGGACCTGGAGCGCCGAGCTGAAAACCCGGTGCAAGAACTTCCATTTCACGTAATTCATGTAATTCTCACTAACTTTCTTGGGCACAAAGAAATTCCTTACCGCCAAACCACAAACCCTAGCCAAGCTACGAACTCCATCGTCGAAATCGAGACTAAACCACGGCGCACCGCCATCGACGCCGACCAACCGCAGACTTTCCCCGTCCCAGAAGTACCTTGAAACCTTCCCCGAACGCTGAATCGCCACCGGAAGCCGAGGTCCCGGTTCTTTGCCGACGCTTTCTTGCGAGTCGTAACCAAGCGACGTCCTGAAAGAACTGGCTATATGGCGAGTTCTGAAGCCGGTTTTCTTGGTGTTCTTTGGGGCAAATTTCGGGGTTGTTAATGGGGTTTCTGGAATTCTCCATGGATTCTGGTAATGGTGAGAATTGGAAGCTGCGTAGAGGGAGGATTGCATGAGAATTGAAGTTGCCGTACGATTTAGTTTTTTTCCCGCCAATTTACGGGTGGGCGGTTTACGGTTTGAAGTGTGTAGGGTTTTTGGGAGGTTTTAATGGAGCAACTATTTAATACAGAGCCGGTTTCGGCGCAAACTGTCTACGACAGGGGAAAGTGACACAATCTACGCCGTCCGATTAAAAGGATGTCACCCTCTCGAATCAAACCATCCGAACGCAATTTTCACTTTGACGTCCCCGTGGCATCACGTGGTATAAATAAATGAATTAAAATATTTTAACTGATTTGATATACTTTTAATCTTATTAGAGTTTTCGACATTGTGGTATGTTCGATTTATGATTTTAAATTAATAATTTTTAATTTTAGTATTTAAATTTTAAATTTTTTATGAGAAAAACATATTATAACAGAATTAAAATTATGAGTTTAAACACATAAAATAAACGAGTTTAAATTTTACTCGTTCGTTTATATTTTCACCGTTTATGTTTACTACGTTTTTGTTGTTTTATTGGATTTTTGTTGTAAACACGAGGTGGTCTTCTCACCTTTTAGGTATTTATTTTGTCTCTAAGATGAGGTATGTAGTAACCTTTGTGCTATATTGTTGTGGCTCTCAATCGATAAGAAGTTTCTATCAATTATAGGGTTTTGCTTAAAAAGATCTTTATGTGAACTCGTTCTTTGTGTGGCGAGGTATTTCCTATTTTCAGACCTTTGGCACACAATTTATCCATTAAGCGTAGTTAAATTGTACCGTTAGAACCAATTTTAATTGAAGGTTATACCTTGTACTACAGGGTTATTCACATTATACTATTGTTTAGCATAAATGAAATTTTTTCTTCAGAAAACCTTATTCACGTCCTGACTCCCTTGTTAATTTTCAGACTCTATCCCATTCATCGTCAACAAAAACTAGTAAAAAAAAGCATGTACTTGTTGCAATAAGGCATGAATTTAATTATCATATTTATTGGCTATTAGAAAAATAATTTTATGATATAAAAAAATAAGTTCTAACTATAATTTGATTGCCATAATATAGACATTATTTAATTTGACTACCTTTTATTATGCCCTAAATAAGAGAAAACAAATAAAAATTAAGTAAAAAAATGGAGAAACAATTTTATGATGCTGACAAATAAGTTCTAAGTATAATTTGATCGCCAAAATATAAACATTATTTAATTTGACCACTTTTTATTATACATAAAACATATAACAAGTAAAAATTATAAAATAGAAACAAAAATTAAACCACTTTTAAAAGGAAAGAGCGGATAACAAGTAAAGAGTACTAGTAGATACAAAAATTAAATCACTTTTTTCTTAAGTTCCAAGTAAGAGAAAAAGTGTAAATAACAAGTAAATAAAAAGTGTAAAATAAAAACAAAAATGAAACCACTTTTTAAAGTGTAAGTTAGAGGAAAAAGTAAATAAAAAGTAAGTACGATTACAAAAGATAAAAAACATAAATGTAAAAAGATGATGGGTATAAATGGAAACACAAATTAGACCTTTTTCTTTAAAGTCTAAGTAAGAGAAAAAAGTATATAACAAATAAGTAAATAGTACAAAAGGTGAAAGACATAAATAGAAATAAAAATTAGCCTTTTTTTCTTAAGCTCATAGTGAGAAAAAATAGTAGATAATAAGTAAGTGAAAAGTAGAAAAGATGAAGGGTATAAATGAAAAAAATATTTTCATGACACTCCTCTGCTTTAAGGTACTTTTTTTAAGCTCTAAGAAGGAAAAAAAGAGTAGATAATAAGTAAATAAAAAGTACAAAAGGTGAAGAGTATAAATGGAAACAAAGGTTAATCTCTTTTTCTTAAGCTCGAAGTCAGAGAAAATAATAAGTAATAAGTAAGTGAAAAGTAAAAAAAATTAAGAACAAAAATAAAATAAAAAATTCCATGACAACTGCATGCTTTAAAACGCTAGTTTTAGCTACCATTCTATGAACACAATCATCAGCCGATTTTTTCACCAATAGTTATTAATTGCTAGTCCTCTAAATCTTTTTTAAGAAGTTATCATATCGTATTTTGTTTTTCTTAATTAGCAAGGAAAGAGGGCAAACAGCCAAATTCAATAACGAAGGCAAGTGGACAAAATACAATAAAAGTCAATTAGAAAAAAAAAGTAAAAATAAAAAAATAAGAGTATAATGGGAAATGAAAATTAAAAGACACCTACTTATCTAGTTGCTTTTACACGTTTTTATTATATAATAGAAATAAGAAGAATTTTTGTGGAGGAGTTAATTTCTTTCTTTGAGAAAGAAATAGGAAAATTATACAAATTGGTCTGAGGCTTTTTCTTAGAAAGAAATATGAAAATTATAAAAATTGGTGTGAAGTTAGACGGAAATATCATGATTCATAACAATTTAATTGATATGATATGATACATTACGTATTATGACACTTATTTAATGAGACATGGTATTATTAAAAAACATGAATAAGGGGATACAATTGGTGAATATAGATAATATCAATGTCGTTTGGTACTAGCAGCAAAGAAAGAAGAGTGATTTGATTGTGTGAAAGAGCCCAATTAATAATTAAGATTCTATGTATGAATAATTCCTCGACATCTTGTTACGGATGGCAGGGGTGGGTGGGGTAGAGGATTATTTCTCATTCTTATCTCCACTCTCATAAATTACCGTCCTATTTTCTATCATATAAGATTATATAAATTAAAATTATAGCAACTTAAAATAAAAAGAGATTTTTTTCGGTACTGTAATATATCGGTAGGTCAAGTTTTTTTATCTGTCAGATCTACATAAAATCACGTAAAAATTAAAAAGTATATAGGTCCAACGGTTAAAAAAACCTAACTTACCGATACGTTAGACATACCAGAGAATCTCCCAAATAAAAATAGAGTAAAAATTTACTATAAATTTAGACCAAAATAAAAAGTTCCATAACAAAAACTAAATTCTTAACATATTACCAACTAAATCCAAAAATAATAACCAACACATAAGCTAAAAAAGTTTAAAAATATCAAAACATAAACGTAAATTGTCCTTTCTTCAAAAGAGAATGAGGAGGCACTAGGCAATATATCCTTATGTGTATATATAATATAAAAAAAGATTAGTAATTGCATTTTTTAACTGGTATAAGAAACTACAAACTACAATCGATAGTCTCCTTTTTTTTTTAATTAAAAAAATACAGTTACTTTTTTTAAGTAAAAAATAATTTTAAAAGATTATGTATATCTATATATATTTACATAAAAAAATAACATATTAATATCAGAACAAAAGTGGGGTGACACCATCTCATCACGAATTGAGAATTAGATTTTGACTCCCTTCCCATCCCCAATAATTATCCCACATTCCCATCCTATTCAAGGCGGGACCCGCTTCTACGAGAATTATTGCCATCCCTATATCTTATTCATTCTTAACAAAATATTTTCTTTCCATTTTTTTAAAGAGCCTTTTTTTTTTTTTTGCCACTAATCAAGTTAGGGTTGTATTGCACATTCATACTTAATGATTTTTACAAAATAATTATGACATGTATAACTTTACAATTCTTAATGGAATCCCTCATAAACTCAATCAAAGAGTTGAGATAAGGCAACTGTGTAATTAACTTAAGCGGCACGGTTACATGATTCGGCTTAACAAAAGAAAAAAATAAAATTGTTAAACTTAATCTTTAAGTACATGAGTCTAAATTTTAACTATGCATAATCTATTACCATGTTACCATATTAATTTACCAATTCTCTCAAAAACACGAGGTGCCTGTTTAGAATCATTTCTAAAAACGTTTTTCACGTTTTTCAAAAACTAAAAAATGAAAATACTCTCACAAATGCGTTTGGCACCGCATTTCCTGAAAAATAAAAATTGAAAACGTTTTTTACTTATTCCCAAAAAGTCAGCAAAACTGAAAACGATTAAGGATCGTTTTCCTTCCCATTTTCATTTTCCTACGTTTTATTTTTCTTTCCCGACTGCGCCCCCCCCGGTCTAAGCCTTGGGTTGTCGGTGGAATCGCGCAAGAATCTTCTCCGATCTTGACGGGCTGAACTCCTCTCCCGCCTCGACCTCGCTGCCCCTAACCACCACCACAACCGCCTCCGATCATCCTCATCTGACTCCGCCGCCTTCCTTTACCTCACCAGAGTCGGAACTCTGGACGACGACTTCTTCTCTGGCGACGACGACGACGATCGCAGCCTCTTCGGCTCCGGATTGGAAAATTCCAGAGATTCATCCGAAACACACCCATTTTCTCTGTAGTAGCATAACACACTAGTTTTTATGTATACAATGTTTATTTAATATATTTAATAATATTATTTATTTAATATATTATTATTTTAAATATTATTACATGTTTTTAAAAATTAAACCACCAAACATAATTTTAATTTTTTTTAAACTGAAAATAATATCAAAATAAAACTACTAAACGTATTTTTAAAAATGATTTCAAAATAAAAATAAAAACGTTTTCATTTTCATTTTCTTATAAAAAATAAAATTATTTTAAGTTCCAACGCACTCGAGCTATCTAAAGCGTTTTATACTGTAGTAAGTACAAACAGCTAAATGTAAATAAATACTTCTCATTCAAGTTGATCAAATTCACACCTAGAATCAATCCCTCCAATACTCCACTACTACTACTACTAATATCCGCCATTACAGGCCCGCATAAAGCTCTGAACGAAGACGAGGAGTGAGTAAAACTTCAAGTGGGGTCGCCTTAAAATTGGTCAACCCAGCACTCTCCGTCATGTCCACACCTCCATCTCCAGACAATCTCTCAACTTCAAAGCCATGCAGGAAGCTTGCCAGGGCCAAGTGCACCCCGTGCAGGGCCAACGACGCGCCGGCGCAAGCCCTTCTCCCTCCGCCGAACGCCACCAGCAGCTCGGAGGCGCTCTCGCCGGCACTGCAGGCCATCAGAAATCTCTCCGGCTCAAACTCGCCGGCGCGTTGCCACACGCACCCGTCCCTCTGTATCTTCCACGCGTTGACAATCAGGCGCGTCCCGGCGGGGACGAGGTGGCCGGAGGAGAGAGTGCAGTCCTCCATGGCGGCCCAGAGTCCGATGATTGGGGATGAGGGGTAGAGTCTGAGGGCTGTTCTTTTACTGTTTTTGAGTTATGTGATTTGAGTGTAGATTTTAAGTTGAGTTTGAGTTATAACTTGAGTTTGTGTTTAGTTGTGTAGATTTGAATTATGATTTGAGATGATAATCTTTTTGAGTTTGTGTTTGAGTGAGTCAAAACTTAAATTTATATTTAGATAGTATTTTAATAAAAACTCAATGTCGATGAAAAATTTTAATATGGTATATGGGTGAGGTTTTATTCGTCTTTTCATTGTCAACGCATAAAAAAAAATCATCTCTAATAATAGAAAAAATATTGTTAATTAATTTGAGTTTGAGTTTCTGAACTCGAATTGAAGGGGAAACTTGAACTAGAGTTTTAGTTTCAAACTCGAGTTTAAACTCGAGTTCAAACTTAAAAGAATATGAACTTAAATAAAATCGATGAGAGAGAAAATAGATATTTTTAATTCTTTTAAGTTTTTCCGAAGATGGATTGCTGCTATTTCTCAATTATTTTCTTCTTCAAGAAGTTTGAGGAATTGCTGAAAATTTCCTGGATAATGGTTTATTTGTCTCAGAACTTGTAAAAGGAATGTACCAACCATTATTTGTGATTACCACACGAAAAGGGAACTACAAGTGTGAAACTTATTTAGTAATACTAGAGCTTGATGTGAGGCTTTGAGATATGTTTTTAGTACATTAAAATAGTTTCTTTAATTTTTGTTTTTGATTCAGGAGCTATGCATTTTAAGGATGTTGGTTTTAAGCAAAAACCAAGACAGACGAGAAAAAAAATAAAAATAAAAACAAAAAATAGAGACCTTTGTCTGCTCTTGAATTATACGTTGTTAGTACCTCACAGGTCTTAGTTACGCATTGACACTTTAAAGCTAGATATTGTTTGTCCAGAGTGATAGTGTGTTAGTATTGTTGACAGTATTTTTAATTTAGCTGCTAACTTTCGGTTTATTTCCTTCAACTAGACCACAATATCCAGCAACCAAAGTGCTCATACTTTTTGTAATTGATATGTTCGAATGCATATCTTTCGTTACTGTCTTTTTTTTCCTCAGTGTTTTGTATTGTTGTCGTTTTTTTTTTTTGGTTTTTTTTACTATCTTAATTTTTGTTTTCTGCGTGAAGTGTTTAATGTGTTAGGCTGTCACTTTTGTTCTTTACAAGTTGAGCTATCAAAATGAACATTGTTGAAAATTGTTGCATGCCTTTCTACAATTGAATGAATTCCAGTGTGGGTATGCATATTTGTGAAGTTTATATTGTGATTACCTGCTATGATCATACTTATCTTTTTATGTCCTACCATTGAATTTTCCTAATAACTTTCTCCATTGATATTGCTGTCCTTATATATAATGTAACTTCAAGATGAAGCCAGCATTAGATTCTTCCAACAACAAAAAAAGTTTTACCATTTTTTTGTCCTACTGTAACGTCCATATGGAATGGATAAGAGAAATTGTGCGAAAATGCCTTGGTCTCATGTTCCCGAAGACATCAGGTACAGAGAAGGAATAAATTAGCAATTACATAGCTCCCATTTTTGTTCTAATTAAGAGTGGCTCATGTTGTCAAGCGTAAATCTTGTGGGCCATATGTCTGCCAAGTACTATTTCTATGTTGTGTTTCTGTTACAGAGTTATGTTTGGCAAGTACTATTTGTATGTATGTTGTGTTTCTGAAAATTATAAGATTCTTCTAACTCTACGCCTGCTTCAGTTTTGCTGTATCATTGTCTTACTTCCTATTGCAATGGTGTCATCTTTGCAATTTTAGAAAACTGAGCAAGAGAAACTCGAGAAGCTCGAGAAGCTAGCACGCAAGGTATTCTCAGTGTACATTTTACCTGTTTATGTTTTTTTTTTTCTTTATTCAGTTTCTGGTCACTTATATTGACCTGAAAAATTAAAGATGATCATTTATTTGAACTATGACTCTGAAAGCTCTTGTGGTGACAAAGTTTGAAGTGTTTTTCCAAATCTAGGCATATGATTTATTTGTTGCAGAATGAACTACTGAAAATTCACTTTATTCATATGCCAAGATCAGTTGAGTAAGAACTCATTTGATGGCACACTTTAATCTATGCTGTGAAGACATGGATAAACCATTCTGGTTTTCTTTCTTTATGTATTGCCGTCTGATAAGTGCACGAATTTGCACTTTTAATATTCATAATTGTCAAATTATTTTATCAAATTTGTGATTTTAATTTCAAATATTCCTAAATTTAGAGGATTTAATTTTAATTAGATTTATTTTATTTTTCAGGTTTTTGAAGAAAACAATTGGATTTCGGCCAGTTTACCAAGCAAAACCCAAAAGTTGAGCCCAAGAAAAGCCCAATTCGGCCCAAAGCCCATCAGCCGAGAAGTCGCGAGCCGAGCCAAGAAGCCGCGAGCCAACCCAGCGCCACGTGTCGACCACTGCCGCATCGCAGTCCGTGGGACCCAGCTGTCCCCGCAGATACGCGCGCTTGGCGCGCACGGATCCTCTCCCCGGGCGAGTCTCCTCCACGCGCGCGTCACCCGGATTTCCTCTTTCTTCCGCGTGGATCCCGCGTTCCAGCTTCCCTCCAGCTAGGTCTTGCCACGCGTCCCAGAGGGGCCCAGCTGCTCCCCCGCGTACGCGCGCTTTGCGCGCACGTTCCCTCCCCGCGCGAGTTCTCCTCCATGCGCGCGTCCAGTCTCCCTCCGCGTGGTCCAGCTGTGCACCACGTCTCTCCTGCGCGTGAATCACGTTGCGACATGTGTCCCACTCTTCAGAAACGTGATGGTTTTTCTCCCTCGATTAAGCCTTGTAACTTCTTAATTAGGATCCAATTTTTAGCTTTTTAGCATTCTCAAAACTCTATAAATAGGGCCATTGTCAAGGTGATTAGAGGTTGAGGATGGATTTTTAGAATCTAAATTCTCACACATTTTCTCTTATTTTCTTGTTCTTATTCTGATACTTTCTTTTTAGAATTTTATGAGAATTATGTGCAAGCTAGGCTAGAGTATTTAGGTGAGGCTAGAGATGATTTTATATGTGTAGTGAACTTATTTGGATTTTTAATTTTCTAATGGTTTGTAAGTTTTATACATTTGAGTAAATAATTTTCTTTTATCATATTTCTTCCTCTTATCAATATATTTTATTGTCAACTTTCATATAAATCTAGTCAAGCTCTTTTTATGTGATTATTGCATTATATTATATATTGATAGGTATTGTTTTATGAGTAGTCTTTTACTGCATTATTGCCAACGGTATATTGTCGTTCTTAGATTTCTCATAAGATAATTTTTCCTAATTCTAAACGTTAGAATTTTATTTACTCGAATACATTTTTAATTCATATGTTCTTCAAATATTTATTTTCTGATTGTTTGTTTGGGATGTGAAACTTTCAATTGAGTCAATTTATGAATCAAAATCCAAATAGGTGAACAAAGCATATGGAGGATTCTCAAAGCCTTACCACTTTTATTTATTGAATTTTCTCCATTTTAAATTGTTCAAAAAATCATAAAAAACACTCATTCATTTTCTTTGTTTGATTGCTTACTTTCCTAACGCTTTTTATTTGCTAATCATTTCTTGTTCAATTTAACACTTCCTCGTGGGATCGACCGTTCAAATTGTACTACAATTGACCGCTTATTTTTGTACACGTTTGGGCGTAATCACCGTCCAATTGGCATTGTCAATACCTAGATGGCGAGAAGGAGAGATAAAGATGTAAATTGGAGCCCTGAAGCTGAAGAGCAACTGCTTAGGCGTCTAGGTGAGTTCAATTTATTGAACTCTGCCGGTACCACCCCGAACTGAGAAAAATTCACGCAATGGGCAACGAAGCTAAGTAACCATTTCAGCGTCACACTTGGTTGGGATAAAGTTAAACAAAAAACTGCTAGGTTGAAAAAAACGTTAGAAGCAGAGTTTCTACTTCGGACAGCTACTGGCCTTGGTTGGGATCCAATTGAGAAGAAACCAACCTGCACCGATCAATATTGGCAACAATTTGTCACTATAAGTTCATCGTATGTTTTCTGTAATTGTTTTACGCCTTGCTGTCTTACTTTATCATTGAGGAAAGGGGATTTACTCTATTATTTTCATTGTCATTATTACTATATATGCAGAGCCATCCTGAGGTTGAAAGGGCAAGAAGGAAGCCGTTACCGGATTATGATTTGTATTACTGTGCATTTGTGAATTCACGTGCCACCGGTGCAAATGAGTACGGCCAAGAGAAAACCCCTATAACTCCCCCACATCCCCTAGAGCAAATCCCAAGCAGCCCAATTGACATTGATGGCGGATCCCAACGGTTCAATGATACAGTCGATACTTCATATACATAAATGAGGCATGGTGTAAGCGGTGGTGGCCGAATCCCACATGTTGCCTCACAGTCCCGTTTAAATAATAAACGGTCAGCTAGAAACAGTCAGACACGTGATTAGTGCATGAAAATGCACCCTGAATACTGCTTTTGATTTATATAATATTAAAATATTTAAGCTTTAATTAAACAATTCCATCATTTTTATTCATAATATTTTTAATTGGAATTTGTCTAGTTTTTGCTTCATTATTTACAGATAAAAAGCAGTGTAAAAAGCTACACAAAAATAAGCCATGAAAGCCATGTTTCAAGTTTCAACCAGCCGAGCCATGCCTTTTAGTCGAGCCGATCAGGGAGAGAGAGAGCCGAGCAGCTTAGCTGAGCCAACATCAGCTCGGGGGCCCCACCACTTAGCGCAGGAATTCGCGCCCGTTTCTTCCCGCCATCTCACGCCTCGCGCATCACCAGCACGCCGCACCTCATAGGGCGCGTTCCTTCCACGCAACCATTAGCGCACGTCCAAGCTTCAATCCGCGTGGGTCCTGCACGACAGTAGCAGACCTGCTGCCTTTTCCGCGTGCGCCACCTGTCTAACGTGGGTCCTCCACTCTGACTGCGCCAGCACACGCCAACCAATCCACGTGCGACACGTGGCACGTTTCTCTCATCAATGCCAATCTCGTTTCGACACGTGTCCACTGAGTGTTGAATCTGAATTTCTCCTTCAAAAATCAGAGCAAATTACCAGATTTCTTCCCAAATCAAATATATGATTCCTTCAAATTTATGTGTAATTTTATTTTGTTTTCCTTTCTTTTGTAATTTTCTATTTTTATTGTTTATTTTCTTATTTGACAGGCAACCTCTGAATAGTATAAATAGAGGGGTTAGCCTAAGGTTTTTGAAGCTTTTAATATTCAATTTTCTGTCGTCTTGCTGTCAGTCTCATATTTTCTCTCTAGAACTTGTGAGAATATTTTACAAGCTAGGCTAGAGTTCTTTTGGTGAGGTTAGAGATGAACTTCTGTTGAGCGATCCAATTTAGAGTTTTGATTCCTTGTGCTGCAAACTTTCCACGTATTCAGTCAATAGTTGCTGCATATATATATACCTTTTTTTGTCCTCTTGTCGTCCCTTAATCGAAAAAAAGGTTACCTTTTTAGTTTTACTTACCTGTTTCGTTTTTTTTTTTTCGTAGTCGTGTTGTTGAGAAAAAAAGGTTTCCCTTATCATTTTTTTTTTATTTCTGTAATTTTGGTTGCTGAAAAAAAAGAATCTCATACTTTTAGGATTTATTTTTTATTGCTAATTTTATTTTCCCTTTTAGTTTTAAAATTAATTGTGATTTGATTTTTATAATCTTTTATTTTTGATAGATTAGGATTTTATTTTGTTTCCATGTTTAAGTAATTTAATTGTTAACTATTATATTGTTGCCTAATTTAATTTTTCCTTTTATAGTTTACATTAATTCTTAGGATTATAATTAGGATTGTAATTAATTGACTATTCTAAATATAAGAATTTCATAATTTGGTAGATTTAGGCTTTTGACTTTAGGGATAGTTTCAATTAATTAGACTTCATTTCATAATCTATTCAATAAAACTTAATAATTGATTTTGAGGATAATTGTGTGGTTACGTGGAAAGTACAATCTGAGGGAGTTCTGTCTAGGAAAGTTGGTACTTAAGTGGGCCTCGCCCCACCAATCTTTCTTGGGAACGTTGCTCTGTCTAGGAGACTATTCATTGAGACAATAGCTATAGTCTTTCCTGGGAGCACTCTCGGTGGTTACAATTTACGTTACTATATAGTTATTTTCTTTTGCTTTGATTAAAAATAAAAACAAAAAAAAAAAAACAAAAAACAAAAAAATAAAAAAATAAAAAAATAAAAAAAATCGCTTAGGGTGAATGCATCGATATAGAGACGAACTAGGGAGATTTGCTCAACGTCCAGACCTAGAAACCCCTAGTGAAATTCTATCCGACTTGTC